AACCAGAACGAAATCCTGGAAACCTACAAAATGTGGATAAAAATCGATCTTGCCAGGAGGAAGATAATAAGTCAGAACGAGACAACACAAGGTTTGTCTAGATATTTTGAAACAGAATAGCGGTCAGCTGATCGTGTCAAGGAGAATGGGGTATTGACAACCTTTTATAAGAAATCCTAAGTGAAATTAATTAGATAATTGGTAATACTTAAAAATAATCCGGATTTTTTTTTCTTTTAGCAATTTAACATTCTCAATAATGAAAAATAACAAAAATAAATCTCAATTTAAAATTTCTTCTAACTTAATTAAAATTAATCAATTAGTTGCAATTTATCATTTATTACATACTGACACTACATGGAGCATTTGGAATCCCATTTTTTTTCTTTTAGCAATTTAACATTCTCAATAAGGAAAAAATGATAAAAATTAATCTCAATTTAAAATTGCTTCTAACTTAATTAAAATTAATCAATTACTTAAGCAATTTATCATTTATTAGATATTGACACTACATGGAGCATTTGGAATCCCCTGCAAGACTTTTCCTGTTACATTTTATATATTATGCAATTCATCGTTTTTTTAGATATTGACACTACTAAACATTTCGGATCACATAAAACCTTTTTCCTGTTACATTTTGTATATTATGCAATTCAACGTTTTTTAGATATTGACACTGCTTTAAACATTTCGGATCACATAAAACCTTTTTCCTGCACATTTTGTATATTATCAATGTAATTCAAATATTTATATGGAGAAATGTGCACAGAAGTTTGAAAACATTCTCAATAATTAAATATTCCAGTACATGTTTGATTTTTCTACTTGAAAAATGTTTTTTGGAATAAAAAATATGGAGCTAGGAATTATATCTACCTAAAATTTAAAATTTTCATATTATTATTTATAAAACTTAAAAAATCTTATCATATTAATTATTTGAAGACTCTATAACTATCCGTAAGTTGATTTTAAGGTTTTGTTTGGTTTAATTCTTCATTTATTTATTTAATTTCAATTAGACCTTTTCAATTAGACATTTCTGAAAGCACAGAATTGCTCATTCATTTAAAAATGGTTATACTTGTAAATATTGAAAACTAACTTGAAAGTTTTTTTTTATGGAGTATCAAAAATAATTGAAAACGTTGAAGTTGGTATTAATGTAAATTAAAAACTAACCAAAATAGATATATTTCTTAAAATTTCCACAACATAATTATCTCTGTTGTGCCCAGGAAAATTTTCAAACAAGTTTTTTACAATTATTATTTATTATTTATTATTGTTTTCATTATTAATACTTTATTATTAATCATTCATTTATTCGATTATATTTCTTTTCTTAAATTTCTTTTATTCTATTTTTTTCTTGATTTTAATTTTCAATACCATCACTTTTATTATATAGATTATATTATGATCTGAATGTTAAAATTAGCAATAATAATAAAAAATTCTTAAAGCACAGAATAGCAATTCATTCAAAAACGTTTGTACTTGTGAATACTGAAAAATAACTCGTAAGTTTTTTTATGAAAAGAATATTGAAAGTAATTGAAATCGCAGATATTAGGCATATTGTTGATATTAATGTAAATTAAAAATTAACTAAAATAGAGACATTTCTTAAAACAAAGAATTGCTCATTAATTTGAATACTTGTAAGTTTTTTTATAAAGTATTGAAAATAATTGAAAACCTTAAAGTTGATATTGATGTAAATTAAAAGTTACCGAAAATAGAAATATTTCTTAAAGCACATATTTGCAATTTATTCAAAAATGTTTGTACTTGTGAGTACTGAAAAATAACCCGTAAGTTTTTTCATAAAAAAATATTGAAAATAGCTGAAAACGCATATATTAGGCATATTGTTGATACTAGTGTTAATTAAAAATTAACCAGAATAGAGATCTTTCTTAAAACACAGACATGCACATGCACAAACATGCAAAAATGGTTGTAGTTGTAAATACTGAAAAATAAATTGTAGGTTTCTTTATAGAGTATTGAAAGTATTTAAAAACGCAGACTTTAGGAAATTGTACATTGTCTTTGACGCATTTTTAAACTGCTTCTAAATAATGAGAAATAAAAAATAATATAATTAAATAAACGCAAACTCCTTAATAACAGAGAACTATCGACGAAGGTTGAAAAGAAAGGCGTCACTGGATTTAAGTCAACAATATTCTTGATAAATATTGAAATAACTTAGTCATTATTTATAAAAAATATTTATAAGTAAATAATTAAGAATATATCATTATCAATAAAATATTGTTAATATTATAATGAATGGGAAAACAACTATTGAGTTGTTTTTTCAACATGTCCTATATGGGCATTTAGTATACAATGTCCCAAAATAAAATAGAGAATAAAAAAAAATATATATAAATATGATAAGAAAGAGTTGTTAAAAAAGTTGTGAATTTATAGAGATCGAAACTTTTATCTGGCACAGCGTTCGTAAGCTCTGTATGCGGTAGTTCTAGTCAGTGTCGCATCCATCTGCGCGGCGCTGTGCGTGTCGGGCAGCTTCTAGCTACGCGAGCGTTTTTGACATTTATCAATACGCTAGTAAGTTCAGGTCAGTGTGCACACACACAACACAGTACCACACGGTACCAAACGCACTTCGCACTGGAATGAATGCATTATAAATTTTTCTTTTTCGTCCTGTCCGAAAAGCAACATGGCTGCTGACTCAGGAATGGATACGTGCCCTAGCCCTGAAATAGCGGACTCTAGAAAAAGGCCCCTCGATGGAGATACGGATGATACTGACACGAAAAGGTCGCATTTCAGCACAGGTATGTCGATTTATTGTTATTATGCAGAAATATTTTGTTACATCACAGGTGTTTTATGAAGATCTTATCGCTGTTGTGACAGTTCGGTTCGAAAATTTTGTGATTGTGTATGTGAGCAAGTGATATAAGTGTATTCCGCATTGTGTTCTAAACAATGTAATGACGTCAATTTTTTTATATGTGAGTGTTTTTCAGGTTCATCAAGTTATGTTTTACGAACATCATTTATTATCATTGACAACGTGTCAATCTCTGATAATGCAAACTCAGAGACAAATAACGTGCGGAACTTAATTAGATTAATAGAAGCCTGTGATGTTATAAAATATTTTTCCCGTTGTACGATGAAAGCTGTGCCTATCGCCTTATATATTTATTCAAAACTTTGCAGTGATAAATTTATCTCTATTTATTACTTAAACACATGATTTCGACCCGAGGTCACTTCGTCATAAGTGTAATGGACATAGCTCTATAATATTGACTATAAAATATTAAAAGTAGTTTAACATATTATATAAGTAATACTATATTACATAGTAGTTTGATCATCCCCTAACCGGGGATGATCACATTTTTTATAAGAATGATTGCTTCCTGTAAAAATTCAACCTAATTTCGTACAAATATTCTTCTTTTGGCAAACAAAGCAGTTTTACCAACATGGTTTATTATATTAACATGAATTTGAAAATTGCAAAACCTTCTCAAAGTTGCGGATGTAATTAAAATAATCTTATCTTTACAATTAATAACATTAAGAACCATCATAGACATTGTGTTTTAGTTCTACGTACAGCTTAAGTATTATTTCCAAAAATCACTAATCCAAAAACCGAATTTGTTTAAAATTAAATAACAAGTCAATGGTGCAAACAGAAATATTTCGTAACTCTGAAGTAATTTCACTCTATATATTGCTAATTAAACTTCAATTTACTTAACCAATCAATCTATATTTTGGAAGAACCGTTTTACAATATTGCATTAAAAACCTTATATATTTTACAATATTGCATTAAAAACCCTCTACGATATTGCTAAATAAACTTCAATTTATTTAACCAATCAATCTATATTTTGGAAGAACATTTTTTACAATATTGCATTAAAAACTTTATATATTTTACAATATAGCATTAAAAACTCTTTACAATATTGCTAAATGAACTTCAATTTACTTAACCAATTAATATATATCTTGGAAAAACCTTTTTTTCATTAAAAACCTTATATATTTTACAATATTGCCTTAAAAACCCTTTACAATATTGCTAAATAAACTTCAATTTACTTAACCAATCTATCTATAATTTGGAAATATGTAGACAATGATAAAAACACAATTATAATCTTATATCATATCGATAAAGAACGGTGTGTTTGTATATTAAACAATATAATGTCAGAACTTTTTGTTTTAAGGTAAATTGAAATACTCTATATTTTTTTTTATTTTCTTTAAAAGCCCAAGTAGAAGGAAAATTCACATTATTTATACTAAAACTCGTACTTATTATTTCTTCATCTGAAGTTTAAATCCTGAAAAAATATCTCTTTATTCATATACGTACGTTTCTAGTACATATATACTAAAAAGTAAAAAACTCATCTCGAAAAATATTTCTGGTACTGGAATTCTTATATATTTCCCCACTAATTTCAACAAACTTAGGTCAATGGGTTAACTTTCTTTCTAAAAGCAATCTAATTAATTTGATAGACTCTATAATCAAATTGAATATCATATAATATAATAACAGTTGAAAATAAAATCGAATTTGGATTATAATTGATTATTCCAATATTGGAAAAAAGATTTTTAATGCACTATATAGGATCCATGCTGATCACGTGAGGTTTTTAGGGGGAGGGGGGTTGACAAAAAATCACAAAACATCACGTGGGGGAGGGAGGGGTATAGTAAGATATTACGTGTATTTATTTTTTAACTGTTTTTTTTTTTAAATCTAACATTTTCAAAAAAAAAATCCAAGAATTTACAGTTTTATAACTAAAAAAAACACGTGATGTTTGGTGGGGGAGGGGGTGGGGGTAATTTTGAATATCACCATGTATCACCGAGGGGGGGATCCAAAAATCCTCAAAAACCCACTCACATGATTAATGGACGCCCCCTTATTGTTAGTATCCTCATTAATTATTTAATAGAGATTTGTATTATTTAATAGACTAATTTTTTGATAGAGATTTATAAATTACATTTAAATTAACAATGTTCAAAACAATAATATATAGTGAAATTAAGTTAATTTGAATACTAATAAATATAATTAATTTTTTTTTAATATTGCGGACTTTTTTGTTAAAAATTCCCATCGCGGTTTCGTATAGAAGTGGCTTTAGACACGGATGTAAGTTTGCAATATATGTAATGAATCGATAATATAACCAGCTGAGCTTACATACACATATTGCACTTGCATTCTCTCGTTTGCGAAAATCTACCACGTAAGCTGTTAACAAATGCCGGCATTCGTTATCAAATGTCTTTAAATGTTTTTTTCACTTGGACGTTGAAAATATACATAATAATATATAAAGCGGTTTCCAGTTTGCATATCACGTTATACGTCTATATGGTAACTCGCTGGAGACACGTAGCATTTTATTCAATATCAATAACATCCAGCTAAATATACATACTTTTTTTCTCGGTAATACTTGCTTGTGTAAATTTGGTTAATTAACAAAAAAATATATCGAAAGCGTGTTATTAAAAAAGTGATTTTTAACCCAAGTGTCCACGTGCGTATGTGGTTGAAAATTAGAAATTATTTCAAGGACAAATGTTAAACAGTGGTGTTTTAATTACTAATAATAACGAACATAATCTTTTTTCGTTAAACTCGCCTTCCAAGTCGCGTATGGTTTTGGGTGAGTTATTTTTTTTAAATATTGTGATAGTGCATAATCTATTCAGGCTGTAACCTATGACATTAAGAAAATTTATGTGCATATGTGTTTTAAATTATTCTCTATCTTTCGTAAAAAATATTTACGTACACAATCGTCATTAATTCTCAAAGTTACTAAGAAATAAAATAGCTTCGGTACGCTACCACTTGATTGAATATGTTAATGATGTAGATTTTCAAAATAAATTACAGATTTTGATTTTGAACTATTAACGTGATTATTTAACAGTGGTGTTTCACGTGTGTGTTCTTGAATATGATTTAATATAATAATCCACATGACTCTTGCTTTTTATGTTTCGACCCCGCATGTTTCTGAGGCGGACCCTCAGGGTCATTGCACTCTCAAATTAAGGCTTGTTATCAAGTGCGAAGTATATTTTAGAAACGATGTGATTGACATTAAATACCATATTAAACTGTGATAGAGACTAAAATCTGAAGAACGGTATAAATTTCAAAGCTTCTTGTATTTACATTGATAAAGAGGGAAATGAAATCAATATCAATATGGTTAAGAAATGATATCAAGTCGTGAATGAGTTTAGTATTGTATATTATAGTAGATATAATTAATTACAATATATGGAATTACAGCTTTCATAATCACTGTAGTCATGTCTTAGGATACTGTCATCAATATTAATAGTTGATATTATGGCAGATGATCTAACAAGTAATATATTCAAGTACGAGTTGATATTTTTAATATAGCAATTGAAGAAATATTTTAAATTTTGCTTTGAAATTTATAACAGACAACAATCGTTGAACTCAGGATCACGGACTTAGCTCTATCTTATAAATGAGGAACCATAAAAAATACTGATTATTGAGGTGGGACGGAAATTATAGCACTGCTAATAACTAGACATATACATATACATATATTATGGAAAATAAATAGACATATACATATACATATATTATAGTGGTCCTTAATATGGACATTTTCGAATTTTCTTGCTCACAGAGGCTCAAATGCTTCCCAATTGACGAAAGAAATACTCTATAAGTTTAAGCTCTTAATATTGTCTTTTAGATAGTGCGCAATTCAATTAAAGTTTTGTATGAAAATAGTATTGGAAAATTTTCAAAAATTTTAAAAATATTTTAGATATAACTTAACGAACAAATTAATGAGTTTTATTCAAAATTTGACACTCTACAAAACAAATTATAAAAAATCTGTTTTGCAGAGCGTCGAATTTTCAATAAAAGATGGCACGAATTGTCACTTTTAATTCATTTGTCTCTAAGTTATACATAAAAAACATTTTTAAAATTTTCGAAAAATTTTCCATGCTATTTCCATACGAAGCTTTGATTGAATTGCGCACTATCTAAAAGTTAATATAAAGAGCTAAAACTTTTAGAGATTTTTTTTGTCATCAATTTGGAAGAAGCCCCTTCATTTTAAGCCCCTGGATGCAATAAAATTCGAAAATGTCCATGTTAAGGACCATATATATATACCAAAATGGATGGATGACTAATAATAGGATCAATTATATTTTTCCACATATTTTTGAAGAATCTCCCGATCAAATGTGTCTGAATTGCCAATGTCATGTTATTTTGTAATTATGGATATGTACTTTTTCATGTATTTATTTTTTATTGATTCAGATCGTACATTCGATAGTACTTGAATGTATTGATATCTTGATGTATTAGTATGTGAAACCCGCGCGTGTTTGGAGAGATTATGAAATTGCATTCGGAATAGCGTTGTTTCCAAATTTGTGTTGAAAATATGAAGTTTTCTTTAAAAATGTAATTTATTTTGATAATACGTTTCGCAATATATTCGATGCATGGTGATTCTACGATATTCCAAGGCCACCTTATGATTTGTGTCACGCGATCGATACTCAGGAAATTTAGTAGATGCAAAGAAAACTACTTGATAATGGATACCTAATTATTTAAAATACATTAGCGTTTTTATATAATTTTAGCTGTTAATTTCAAGATTTCTTAAAACTACCAAATAATTAATTTCAAAGTTAGAAACTTATATTCGACATTTACTATAAAAACTTCCATATTAGGTTAATA